TTAGCCATCTTTTATATTAAACTTCTCACGCGTTTATCGCTTTTCATCGAATTCCATGGTTCGGGGGACTCCACCTCTCTCATCGGATCTTTGTTTGCTTAGCGATTTGTCGCCAGCCGGCTTTGTCATAAGCTCAACCGACCAATTCGTGGGCCGGGGGCAGTTTTATCAGGTCTCACTTTTCGGAAGATGAAACTACGCCGTCTACCTTCATTTTCCTGACAGGTATCACCTTTTTTCTTCCGAACATATATTCCTCAACTTCGTTTTTCCAACTAAATGTGGGACTTTTTGGACCAAATTTTCATTGTCTCACACATGTGCTCCAATTGCCTGCGTGCAACCTTAGTCACCGCGGTAGTTTCGACGGACGTATATATCGAGATCCGTAGGTTAAGTTGAGGGTTTCTGTTAGCTGGTAAAACGCACATGTTTGATCACAATCATTGTCTATTCAAACCATGTTATCATTTCAACCAAAGCAAACTATTTCACTTTCGAATTGCTCCGGGTATCTTGGAGTCGACTCACGTTGCGACCAGCACACACGGAAACATTCTAATCCGCGATAATCCCAGATCCAATTATTCTGCACTGGTTGCCACCGATACACTGCAAGAGACCCAATTCGCACTCAATATTTCTGTTGCATTTAGTAAAATCGGCCAATACGTTCNGAAGCTTTTGTGTCAAAAGCGAAAAGTTGCCCAGCAATACATCTATCGATTGTCAACAAACGTTTACGAAAACTTGAACTGGTCTTCCGCAAGGTAGATAACTTGAATTGTTCACATCCAAAATTGAACCTACCGGCATAAGTGATGTATTAATCGAACAACTTTTTTCGCCACTCTCATACATTCGAGGCGATAACTAATCAAGGACGAACGCTCACCGAAAGTTTTTGAGAGTTGTTACCCGAATTTGTCGGAACTGAGATCTCGCTAGTTCATCGGCGGAATGGAGTTGGGATACGGTGTGTGTTGCGTTGCACCAAGCCTTCCGATCAATAATCCACTCAGCATGCATCAGCTTTGTGCTTCAGTTCGACTTTGAAAATATGTGCGTACGGCATGACCCATGATCATGATCAGTGTCATATTGGAACTCTGTCATAGTTTTGGTGTTTGAGTCGACTGAACTTACATCTCGAGCGCAATTTGGTTGTTAAATTTGGATTGCCGCCTCTAGGTTTCCACCAAATGCGATTGAGCCGCACCAAACAGAGTTTGCATTTGCAACAGATTTTAATTCAACACTTTGACAGATATTGTGATTGTTTCTTTGGTTTCGGCGTCGCAAACCTGTTATGTGCGACTGGATTCCCCACTCGATTGCCTAGTTTCGGATTAACACACGACGACAAGGAACATAACAGCTTTATGGCAACAAAAATATACAAGTGCACAAGGACAACGAAATCAACTGATTATATTGAACCGTGCTGCCCGAACCCGACCCAACGCCGCTACACAACGTGCTACACATTGACGGAGTGTTGTCTGATCTTGATCCAGCCTCGTACACTGACTGGCTTGATATCCCCATTGGAAACGTCAATGTTTCCCGGTGCAGAGGCTCGCCAAAATATATTCTTCAGAACCAGATGTATGCACGATCTAATATGCCAGTTGATTTCTGCGTAACCCAAACTTGACCCATCTCTGCACAATCGAATTGACGGTCTCAATCCAAGAGGCAAATCACCAACTGACTAAACGCCGATGGCTCCGGAATCAAGCACGTTAGATTCAAACGTTCACTGTGAAAATTGAGCAATGCACGCGTCTCCTAAATACTATATCATTATTTCATGAGAATAATGAATGGCACGCAAGGTGTTGCACAAAACAAGACCTCTTGACATCTCGTAGACTTATCGCCCCACCCCCATAGGTATACATACGACATCAGCGACCATGTTCCTTGCAAACCAGTCATACTGGGAAAGCTAGTCTACGGAAAATTGGCCTTGCTTTGGAGCATGGCTATCCGGTCAGCCATTATTTAAACAACGTATGCGACGACCGGCGGGAATACAAAACAACCGCGGAGAGCCCCATCGTCTATTGTCAGGCTTAACCAGCCTTTTGGGAAACAGGTGTGACAACGTGGATTCGGGGTGGGGAAAAAACAGGAGGCGTGGGAGCTCAATGACTGACGAGAGCGGAGAACTTGCGTCTTCACTCTCTGCATGTAATTTTCAGGATGTGAGCAGGAGTGACGCGTGTTCGCCCGCCTAGGAGTGCTATGCGGTAAACATGGCAGAGATCGCGGAAGTGCAGCAGGGTGTCGTAAGTTGCTTAGAAAAATGCAAATCCGGGTTGTTTACCTCTGATTGCTCCACTATCCTTTGAGCGGTTCTCAGCAGGAGGCTTCGCTTCCTTACACGAACCTAGCGAGATCAAGAAAGCCAATGTGTTTTGTTGTGTCGCCAGCATATTTGCGCATTAGGATATGCACTCCAAGTCATGTTTTTTTGCATCGGTTTGCGCTTCATGTACTGCGAAACGGTTTAGATTCTGAACAGCAAGTATGGGGTAGAGAACAGCTGCGTTGAAGCGCTTGCCGCGTGTATGAGTCGCCCGCAGCGACGAACTTGGCCACTACGGGATGAGTGGAAACATGTCTGACAACTTATTATGCATGAAGTAATTGATTCACTTCGGTAAGCGGGATTCATTACCCGATAGTTATGCAACTTTTATTCGCCGCACAACAGAATCCAAGATCAATGAAATACGGCTATTCGAATTGTTTCAGAAAAGTGGGTACCCCAAGAATTTCATCTGGAGGAAGCTCAATACGATCAGTGCATCGACATAAAATTCGAGCAAAGCGAGCAAACGAATCACACTCCCATGCATCACGAACACCGCTGAAATGACGGCAAAGCTCTTACGATAGCACAACGCAAACGTCGGTTACAAGCCCGCGAAAACTTTGCCGAGAACACACAAAATCAGGAAGGAAGCGAGTTCGACTGGAGTAGCGCTAGCATACTGGCTCAGGCAAGAACGAAAAAAGAACGCGAATTTACGGAACCGTGGCGCTACACTGAAGCAGCTACAAACAAACATAGCGAAATCGATCATATTTACCAACCATTAGGAGCGAGCGAACATCAGAAATACAGAGATTTTGCTGCAAAATAAACTAGAATGAGAACCCATACGAAAGTGTGAAAGCGTAGTGTAACCGTACACACCAATTGAATTGAAGGAGGCGTTCAAACATAACACCAATTTGACCGGCGGACACATGGACAATGACCATTACGGTGGCGAAAACAGGACGGTGCAAGCAACCCATCAGGCTCGAGATCGTCAGAACCAAGTACAATGCCAATCAATGGGAGAGGACCAACCAAGTAAAAAGAAGGCTATGGGACAACCAATCGACATAGAGTGGCGCAGAACACAACGCAACATAGATCCCAAACGGACCAATCAATTCTGGAAACTTGTTCCCCCCAGGTAGTCAATCACGTCACAAGGTAACAGATAGTCTTCAAATGCTATATAAACGCACACAGGTAAGGAAGAAGTACCAACCCAACTGCGCACTGTTGAAGTTTCCTCCCTCGATGGCGAAACTATTGAAAGCCGATTGTGAAGCTCGGCGGACAAAACGACAGCCACCTAATCAACAACCAAGCAGCGATATACTATGGAAGCGACCCAAAACACACTCGACAATGTTGCTGCATTTAGTAAAATCGGCCAATACGTTCAGTGAACTTGATTGC